TTTTATTAAGTTTTTTACAGTTTAATAACTGCAAAATAAGACATATTTTATTTTTAAGTAAAGAAATAATAGTATATATTAATAGTATTTTATAAATATTATTAAATATTTATATATATTAAAGCAGTTGAATATGTTTTTCTAGAAATGTTTTATATAGCTCAAGGACAATAATTTGATGTAATCATATAATTTTATATAAATTACATAATTTATTTAATAAAATATATTTTAGATTTATCATATTATAAAATTATATAATTCAGATTTTTCTATATTAGAATGTATAATCTGCAGCAAATATATTTAATTTTAATAAATAATTATTGATAATCTTTTTTTTTAATAATATCAAAGAAAAGAAAACAATATTTATAAAGATATTTTTCACATTAATAATAATATTCTTTTTTATAATTACTGCAATATTTCTGTGAAATAGAAGCATAAATCTATTATAGGTAAATATTACAATAGTTAAAAATATATATCAAATGTAAAAAATAAGAAACAAAATAATATATAATAGCTTATCTTTTTTTTTACTCAAACAAATGCTAACTTTCAAAAAATAATTTATTGAAGACTTATAGAAGCATTTACAATAGTAGATATTCCTCTTAAAAAAGTCAATTTTTTATTTTAATTTTTTAAAATTATATTAAAAATGGAGACTTTATTTCTTAAGCTTTTACTTTTAAGCAAATTTATTTATTGAGTATTTTTAAAGCTATTTTTTAATTTAAAATTAGTAGCTATAATTATAGATAAAACTACTAATAATTATACACAAAGTGTTGTCAATACATTTTTTATTATCATAATAAAATAAAATTAGTTTTAGTTAATTTTCTTGAATAGATGAATAATACTACAATAGAATAAGATTTTACAATAGTTTTATACTTTTTAATATATCTTTTAATTTGTTACAATTATTTTTAGATTTAATTGTGTATATAAAAAAATGCTATTGCAATATCTTTATTCTATTTATATTATAATTAATTTATATATCATATTATGCATATATAAGACTTTTATAATAAAAAAGAAAAAAACTGCTAAAAAAAATCAATTTTATTTTTATATGCTAAATATGATTTTTAGGTCAAAATATATTTAGATTTAGCATTAACTTATGTTTATTTTGTTAACCATTTTTTCCTTTTCTATTATAAAAGTATTATATATTAAATCTTATTAGATATGTTTTTTAATAATTTTATAATAGATTATTTTATATAAAATTGGGGATTTAAGAAGTAAAATTACAATTTAATTAATTGAAATTTTTATAATTTTTATTAAATTAAATTAAAATTAATAATGAATTTATAATAGAAAATTATTTAATAGTATACAGTATATTGCAATAGATAATATTTAGTATTTTAGCATAATTAAAAAATTATAAAATAATATAAGGTTGCATAAAAAATGGAAAATATTATATAGAAAATATTAATACAATATAAATATATTAAAAAAAATTTATTTAATAAAAAAATTTTATAAAAATCCATAAAAAATGTTATCTTGATTTTATATTTTAAAAGACTTTTAAATAAAGTTAAAAAAGCTTATGATAATTCTCTTATTTAATAAAATCAATATTTAATCTATTTAAAAATGTATAGAATTTTATTATTATGTAAAATTCTTTTATATAATAAGATATGCTAAAATCTTTAGTTTTAAATGATATTTTACATAAGAAATATATCATTTATTAGTCTTTTTTTTTAATGAAGAATTTAATAATAAAAGGATTATATATTAAAAGCTATTAATTATTACTTATAAAATGTATAAGAATTAGGTATTTATTATTATTTATATTAATTTATTTCTTTTTATGCTAAAGAATTTATTCAGAATCTTGATTTTTTCTAATAATTAAATATACCAATTTTCCCTTTTGTTGAATTATAATTTTAATAACTTATTGCATATATTGAAATGTATAAAAATTCAGATGACTTTAGTTTTGACTTGAAAAATTTAATTATTTAATTTTATTTTAATAAAAATAAACATTATCTAATTTTTCAAAAAGCATTTGAAGCAGCTTATAAAAATTTGTCACATATATTCCTAATTATTCAACTTGTTAACTCTTTTTTATATATTAAGTATTTGATACAAATTTATTCATAATAGAGAAATTTTATAAAAAAAATATTCATAAATATAATATTATTAAAGAATTTAATAATTCATCTAATGAATTATTGTGAGAATAAGGATTTATTATAGATTAGATAATAAAATTTAGGCAAAATAGATTTGGATCAATTTTAGGTAAATAAGATAGCATAGTTATTAATTTTTTTTAATATTACTTTAAATTATATTTGATCATCTTTGTTATTAAAAATTTTTCTATATACAATTCTTTATTAGATAATGATTAATAAAATCTTTCACAAGATTCTCATAAATAATTAAATATGATATATTTAATGAAATTATGACTTAAAATTTTATATATACATTAAGTTTATATTAATGATTTATAAATTTAATAAATTTATGTTATACATAAAATATATATAAATCAAATATTATATAAATTTATCAAATAATATCAATAATATCAAAAATTTTAAAAACATTTTATTATATAATTTTTTTTTAGCACATCCATAATTTATATTTTATCATTTTTAATATAGCTTTTAAATCTATTTATAAATATATATCAAGTACTTTATATGTATTTAATTATTAAATCTTTATTTAATAATATTAACACATATAAATTACTTTTTTTTAAATTATGAAGTGATTAATCATCACTTTTCACAGAACTTTGTTACTTCTAAAAAATGCATTACTACTATTTTTTGTGATTATTTGTATTGTAAATATGCTAACTATTTAAATAATGATATTATTCTCACATGTGAACATGATTATTTTAACCATTATTTACAAAAATATCAATTTAAATGTTTGATATATTAAGAATAACTTTAAGATGAAGTTAAAAAAAATATTAAAACTCATTTAACAAGTTTAAAGAAAAAATCAGATGAATAAGAATCCATTGAAGAGAATAGTAAAAATGCAGCTAAAGATTATATGAATGATATATATAAAAACAATAAATAATATTATAACAGTAGATAATTTATTAGAACACACAAAAGAATTAATTTAAATTTGTAATAAAAAATTATTTTTTTCATTTAGTGATATATATATAATTTTTTACTTTTAGCTATTTCTAATTACATAATTCTGACCACATTTTTCAATTAGTTATTTACACTAATGGGATTTGAAATCACATGATTTAATTATCAAAATTTTGGTCGATAAATGTATCGTTTCCTTCCAGACTTGGAATTTTGTGTAACCGGAGGACTGTCCCCCGTATCCAAAAAGTAGAATTTTTTTTTATTCCCATTTGGATCGTGTAACAAACAAAAACATTTTGACGGCGTTAATGATAAAAACATTTTGGTTTAATGAGATACCTTTTTTTGCTTTATCGCATATATTGGAAATAGGGCACTTGATTCACATGAAAAGAATCAAACATAGAAGCAGGCAATATTTTGCCAAAATAAACACAGGAAACAATACGGGATATCCTATTTACCTCTCACAGAGGAGATGAATAAAAATTTTTCAAAACCTTCGTAATGTTTGTTGTAAAAAAAAAAAATTTTTTTTTTTATTTTCATGTAATGCTCGGGTTTGCATGAATACAATGTACGCGATAAGTTATCGAACCTTAAAAATATGTCTTATCTATTTAAAACGTGCGTCTAATTATTCGGTAATTTGTTACCTGCAGCTATATTAAATAATTTCTTTCCTCCGTTTGACAAACGCACAAATAAAATCGCGAACTTTTCACAATGAAGTTTAGATTCTTTGACGAAAAAGTACTTTTGACGTTGATAATGGGCCGCGACGATAAACAAAACCCTTGATTTGTATTCCTTACTTTACCGGATTTCCTAAAAAAGAATATGTACGTCGTTTTATTAAAAGTTACTATTTTCTTTTAATGTTTTCGCGTAATTAAAAAGAATTTTTTTGGCGAAAATACAAAATATTTACTTTGTGACACGACAGGTTTTCTTAAAATTGATAAGATACGAAGCATGCAACGTTTTGAAATATCACAAGGCGTAATGGCAAGGGGGGATAAAAAACAGGTTTTATATATGCATCGTATGAAAAGACCGAGAATGCAATCCTCATTTTGGTAGCGAATAACTTCTCACCAATGTGATTAAATCAATATTTAGAATAATATTAATAGGCTAGAGTTTATTAACTTACTTTTTTCTTTTTGTTCAACTTAAAAGTTAAGTGCAACAAGTAAATAAATTTAAGCTTTGACGAATTGTAAGGACCGTAACAATAATGACGCCACCAAATTTCGTTTGCTTATTAGATAATAAACACTTAAGGAGGTTATGTAATACGGGCCCAGGTCTCAATAAGGAACCAAAATGTTTTTATAGAATCAATCCTTGAATGGATTATGTATTGTTTATTAATATCTCTTAACTGTATATTTGATACCTAAAAAGCAACATCATCATATGATTGATCATGAACGTTGGGGCCTTTTTATATTTTGTTTTGTTCGAACTTTTAAGTTTTAGAAACGAAAAAATCAACATTTTCGCTTAACGAGCTCGGAACGAGCGAATTTTTTTTCTTTTAGAATAATTAACAGAAAGATGCATATGAATCTTTGGATTTCAACTTCGAATTACCTTGTCATAATAGATTTTTTTTAAGTTCTTCGTTTCAAATTTATCAAATTTACCGTCGTTGCATACCTCAACTATTTGCAATTAAAAAAAAAAAAAAAAATGGCTTTTCTTAAACTTTTCAAATACGAAAAAGGCACCAAAAAGTCTATTTCAAGAAAGTATAGAACAAGGACGACGTCGTCCTTGAAGAAAATTATTTCAAAATCATTGAATAAAATTTATCGCACCAAATCGAATGATGGCGGAAAACCAAGAATGATAGCACCAAGAAAATATCCAAAAGATGATATTTTCGCTACGAGACCTTCGCGAGAAAGTATCAAGGCACGATCTCGATCACATACAATCTCTTACGACTTGCGACCGACTTTACACCTTTCACATCTCACGCCGGATGAAAAGACTTTTCTTCCGGTTAAAAACGTTAGCGTCAAAGTGAATGTCTTTTGGGGAGAGGATCAAAATGATGAACGATTTGGTTTGTCTATTCCACGAACCGGCTCTTTCGGATCACTTCAGGTAGCTTTATCAAAGTGTTTAGGGTATGAGATGCCACATGATTTTGCTATACTATATCATACAAGAAGGTATCGCAAGGATTATATTATGATGAGGATTTTGCTCGATTACTGGTTAAAAAACAGAATGTTGTGGTTGGTGGATAATGATTTCATGTTTCGAAAGCACATGTTGTTGTGGAGGGACCAAATTGAAATAACCATTGTACGAAAATCGATAATTTATTAATTATTGTGCAATATACTGTATAATGTTTCTTTTCTTTGTTTTAATAAAATTTTCAAATTCTGTATTTATTTGTGAAAATGTATCTCTTACAAAATTTCATAACGCGTGAAATAGAAAAATTGAAAAAATCATACAGTAATTGCAAATGGTTGTGTAACTAACTCGTAATTCTTAAAATCTAGCTTATTGGTGATTATTATTACTAATAGTTTTTTTTTTTTTTTAAAAATAATTTTTTTTTTTTTTTTTTTTTTTTTTACATAATAACTTTAATTAAAAAAAAAAGTATTTTTTTAAAAAAAGAAATTTTACAAGTGTCTTGAGATAAATAAATAAATTAAATAAATAAATTAAATAAATTAAAGGAATGATCTATGTATTTGTTATTACTGTATCTATAAAAATTTTTTATTTTTGCGTAAAACCAGTTTACATAAATAAAAAACGCTCTATTTCAATCTTTCTATTTGTAGACTATTTTTTTTTTTTTTTACAATATTAATGATAATTATGATTGCTTCTCCGCATATCGAGCACCAATAAAAGCACCAAATATCACGATGGAAATCAACACAGCATTTAACGCACACAATCTAGCCCAATAATTAATTTCTTTCTTCTTGCTCATCACGTATAAAGATCCAAAGTACCATAAAGGAAAGAAACAGAATCCAAATACATAACATTTTTTCATGCATGACCAAGGTACTTGCTTTTGCCCACTTTCAAGATCACTCATTGAAAATTCCGGCAATAACGTTCGATTTGGATTCGTAAGTTCGGATGTTGGGACTTCGTCATATAAGGTTGAGTTACAATCTAACGAGGAATTATCGGAAGGGATGTTATTCACATTGTATCGTTCGCTAGGAACTAATACTTTTTCGGGTATGTTGATGTTTGATAAAACGACCTCTTGCGTCATCTTGGTTTTTTTTTTTTGGTTTTCTATAAAAAAAAAAAAGGTTGGAATTTTTTTTTGGGGTGGGTAGATTGTTAAAGGTTGGATATATATATGACTTGTTCCCAATCTAAATAGGTTTACTCAGCACGACCGACTAAGATGCTCCGGCGGATTTCCTCTTCTTTTTATAATGAATTTAAACTTGTGGACTAGATTATATTCTTCACAAGAGGTTCTAAATATAGCGTTGAAACAAATTCCTTTGATCCAATCGATCGGAATGTTAAATTGAGATCAGCCTCAGACAAAGACATCGTGACAAGGCACAACCTCATTGGTGTCACATGATTTACATTAATAGGCATACGATTACAAAGGCATTGCTTGTTTATTTTCTTTTCTTTATGAAATCAAGAAGAAAAAAAAAAGAAGAGAGAAAGAAATAAAAGGTACGTGCGTAATTAAATAATTAATGTGCATTGTGTCATTCTTTTTTTTGGTTAGATGAACGAGCAAAACAAAGAACGAGACGATTTTACCCTAACATATTTACTTTACACACGAAAAACACCTTCCTTTTTGTAAGTTCACATTGTTTTTATATTTATATTTACATGAAAATTTAATGTGCCTTGTACGGGAAAATTTACTAAACTAAATTTGTCATCAATGATTAAAAATTAGCAGATCGTATTGGTTTAAAAAAAGAATTAGCATAACGTGGGTATCATAGATTTTTGAGCACAATGAACGAGTCAAGGTAAGACGCAATTAGATAAGTCAAATGAGAAATCAATGAAACGTTACTAAAAAAAAAATATGAGATCCGAGATTCACATCATATCTCGTTATCTGGATGGAAGCTTATCTATCACCTGACCTGTAATTCACCAACCCAAATAGAGTTTACACATGGCCCAAATTTGGCATATAATAAGGAATTGGTTAGTTACATCAAAGTGTATTTTTTTTTTTTTTTTTTAGGTTAACGTTAACGCTAATGAATAATGAATTATTTATTAAGTGCATCCTAATAAATATATTTAATGAATTTCCTAATGGCATGCACATAAAAATGTGAATTAGAGTAGAACAAAAAAATTATTATTATTATTATTATTATTTTAAAAAAAAATACGCTCGCGAACATCACATCTGAATCTTTTTTTTTTTTTTTAAAAAAAAAAAAAAAAAAAAAAAATAGAAAAAGGAAAAAGCAAAAAGAAAAACGCTTAAATTATCGGAATCCGCATAAAAAAAAAGTTTAAGGAATCTGCCATATTTCGCAATTGTTTTTTTTTTATTTACATCTCCTTTACCGATTTAATAAATATCTCTTGTGGCACATTATTAATTTTCTTCAATAACACTGTTGGCGTTTCTTGTGATCCATCATGTTTACTTTGCTATTTAACAATTAAAGAAAATTCTAAAGGGAAAGTCTGTATTACGTGTAACTTAAAGGAATTTATGTCATTGAAAATTTTAAAAAAAGTTTTCATTATATTGTTTACGCGTCTGTTTGGTTTCACAATATTATTTTTTTTTTTTAAAAAAAAAAAAGACATGTCAAAACAATCCTGCGCCAATTGGAGGTCAGGAAAGAAAAAAAAAAAAATAGAGGTCAATTCTCAATAATTTGTAAAAAACAGAATGGTCTAAAATGATTCATTTTCCGTTGAATGGCTTCTTTCAACTTGAAAAATTAAATGTAATTACAGATATTACAAATCAACGATGAACAGTAATTTCGTATAGTGGATAAACTTTGAATGAGGTTACTGGTAAGAATTCTTTATTATTACACAAAAAGATCAATACAAAATGACGAAACACCTCTTTGAAGAAATAAAAAATGTAAAGTTGACGTGTCAAATTAATCAAGTCAAGTTGACCAACTTTAATTAGAAAATGATATCATGCTCGACGGTCAATTCTTGAATTAATTTAATTGATTTTCATCAATGGCAGAGCAAATCAGAATATTCGATGTCACAACACGAAACATAACGACCACCTTCACCATGTATTTCGGTTTGGATTAAAAATGGTTAATCATCTCTCTTAGAGCATGATTCGGACATTTTTGATCTACGGGAACAATGGTTGATACTGTATCGCCTTTGAAGAATACAAATTTGTGGCGGTTCCAAAAGGATGAACCAATAATGAAGTATAATATTAAGCTAAAGAACATTATGAAAGCTAGAAAACGAATGGAGATCATAAAGAAAAAAAGGGAAATTGTACCAAAGGACTTTAAGATTCGTCCTTTATAATTGTTCATAATTGAAACTTTTCAATTTTGTTTCAGCAAGACTATTTATTTAACGAGCGAAACGAAGAATTATAATTTGTGAATTTCATTATAATCTCTTTTATAATTTTTTTCTCTTTCTCATTATTTTACTATTTATCAATGAAATTAATAAAAATTTTTTCCAACTTTTTTTTTTTTTTCTTTCATTACTTTAACAAAAAAAAAAAAAAAAAGAAGAAAAATAGAAAAATGTATAAAAAAAAAAAATATTTCATACTGTATGCATGACCTTAAACAATACTAATGCATAAAAATAAATTCCTCAATAATATGCAAATACATGCATATTGTCAATTGACAGGAAACACGCGGTTTTTAGATTTTTAGCAATTTTTAGATTTGATAAAATCAATCTTTCCAAGTGGGAGATCGATCATTTATCATCCACATCAAGAAAGTTTATAGTCGATCCATTCATTTTCTTTACAAAAATAAATTAGATATATTTTATAATTGTTTAGTTTTTTTTTTTTATTTATTCTTTTCAAATAAATAAATTAATTTAGGGGTGGGCTTAAATAATAAATAAAAAATTAAAAAATTTCGATCCAAAAAAAAAAAAAAAAGATAATTTTTTTTTTACATTTTGAAAATGAAACAAAAACGTATTCATGTTAAACCATAAGGAAAAATATCAAAATTAAGTAAATGTTGTCAGGTGAGATTATATAATTTAGAAGGGATAAGATAAGTAAAACGCGCGAAAATAAGTCATTATGTATATAGATTTAAGAAAAAAAAAAGAAAGAAATATTGAACAAAAAAAAGATCATAACAAAAAAAACAATTTATACTAAACCGCACAGCTGATAAAATATTTGTACTAAATCGATAAAATAATAGATAATATAATTGAGGGGAACGATCAACGCCAGGTTGATACCAAAAATTTCGTTTACGAGAGTTTGCGTAATAAAAGAATAAGCATTGATGGGAGACATGATTTAAAGCATGACTAACGTACTGTTGTAAACTAATGTTTCTGTAGCTTTTGAATTGGCAATAAAATTGGTTGTGCGACAAATGTTTAGCTAATGAAAAGAAAAGATTCGGTTCATTATATATTTAATTACGTGGAAAATAATCACAGCGTGATAACTTACCAAAATATTTACAATATTATTCTAACATTAACCCGCGTTCAAATCATGTCTCCATGAGCCGTTTGTTCATTATTACTTTTGCCCGATTGACAAAAGGATAACTAGATCGTTAGCTATGAGTGTGAACTTGAAGGAGAAATTCGGGGGTTTTTATAAGCATTTGGGTTTTGTTTGTGATAAGATTTTTTTTTTTTAGATTTTTAGTTTCGTGACAATAATAAAGCTGACTTCTATTTTTAGATAGTAATATCACAAAATTAATGTGACTTTCTTTTTCTTAAATAAAAAAAATAATAAATAAATCAAATATAAATAGTGCAACTTTGTCAATAAACGAATTCGCATTTATACAGTAAATGGTATATTATACAATCACATAATAAGAATCAAAACAATATTCGATACAAAACCATTACTTTTAAGTTTAGTTTCCATTCTATATGTTCATGAGTAGCTTCTAAAAGCGTATAGTTCAAATAATAATCTCTCTTCCTCGCAAAAGATGCGGTGCACATGAAGTTTTTTTTACGATACACGTTCTGAATTTGGATAAATTTAATTTATTACGTTAGGCGGTCGTATGGGAAAATATTCTTTTGATTTTACATGAACAATGATTAAAATTCATCATATGATTATGAAATATTTCACTTTCAAAATTATACATTGTCAGCACTATGCCGCAATTCCATTTTTAGTAATACGTAGCACCATATGCATACCTGGAATTAAGTACAGCATTTTTTTGGCCCGTATTCCTTTATTTATATAATGACTGAAATGTTCGACTACAAAAATCGAACGGTGTAAGGTGAAAGAATTTGATTTGAGCGGCCAAAGTAATAATAATTTTTTTTTTTTTTAAAACAAATCTATTGTGTCAATGAATTGACCAAAGAAGACAATGAGATGACCATGTACAATCATTAAGTTTATTTAAGGTTTGAATTTTCTGAGGTTATCGTATTTGGTATACGGCGGCTGCAGTTCATGCGAATGACCCTCTTCCAGTCGAAGCAGGTCTTTTACTTTGAGTTTATATAATCAACCAGGGAATACCTATATTTGTTAATCTTGTAAGATATATTTTTTTATAATGAATATTAATATATATATATTTATTTATTTATTTATTTTATTCTTTGTTTTACATCGTTCTTAGGATAATTAGAATTGGCACGAGTGAGGCCAATGTAATTTAAGTGGACATCAGGGGTAATCTTTGTTTTTAATTTCTATTTTTTAGAAATTAATCTTTCTTTTTTTATGTAATTAATATTAATTGTTTTAGGTAGGTCATATGGTTAATGGATTAAGGATTAAAGTTTATACAATTATGTAATTGGTCTCTGTGAAATTTTTTTTGACTATATAGTAGTTTTTTTTACGAAACAATATTCATTTGGGTAAATTATATTTACTATGAGTACTTTTTTTTTTTTTTTTAAAAAAAAAAAAGATTATTTTCATCTCTTTTTCCTAGGTGTTGCATTGATATTCTTAGTGGTAATTTGTATCCCGTATTTGGAAAGAGAAGTTCTAGAGCGCGTGTTGAAACAAATTTTGAACAGAATGTTTTTCGATACGTACATTTGCAAAGGTATGAATGGACAAAATATTCATCATCGTCATCGGCTTCTTCATCAAAACTAAATGTTTTATTGTTATTTAAGAAAATATTTCGGGCTGGAAAGAACTGGTAAATGGACTGGTATATAAATAAATTTACGTATGTAACAATCAGCACAGCACTTTATTTTACTTTGGTCATAAAAAAAAAAAAAAAATTGCTAAATATTATGTAATGATCTTAGATAACCTTAAAAAAAATTGCGTGAGATCTTTTTTTTTTTTCCTTTCCTTTTTTATTTAGCATTTGTAAGCTTGCATATGGTTAGGATCTAAAAAGGACTATATGAACTCTCCAAAGCGACACCTTATTCGTTATAAATATGCAAGTAATGCAAAAAATAATTTTTTTTCTCTTCTTTTAATCCCTTAGTATTTTCACACGTATATTGGAATTTATTTTATCAGATTAAATAATCAAGGTTGTTAATGTTAATATAAATAATAAAAATATACAGCGCATAGTTTTAATAAATGATGGATTTTCGAACAATAGTAATTTCGATCTCGTCTCTCCATAATAGCATGTGCTTTCTAAACTTAAAGTCATTATCTACCAACCACAACACTCTGTTTTCTAACCAATAATCTATTAAAATTCTCATCATATTATCCTTGTAATATCTTTCCGTATGGTATAATATGACAAAATTACATGGCAACGCGTACCCCAAACTCTTCGACAGTATCTTTTTAAATGAATTATATGAGCTGGTTCGTGAAATGGATAAGTCGACTTGCTCTTTCTTATACTCCTCTCCCCAAAAGACATTAACCCTTATGTTAATGCTTTTAACGGGTCGACAAGTCTTTTCATCTGGTGTGAGGTTGGAATGGTGTAAGGTCGGACGCAAGTTGTAAGAAATTGACTGCGATCGAGATCGTGCTTTGACATTTTCGTATGAAGGGACCGTGAAGATGTCATCTTTTGAGTAGATCTTTGGTGCTGCCATCGGTCTTTTTCGGCAATGCGATTTCGTGTTTGGGTGAGTTTCATAAAGAACTTTTAAAATAATTCTCCTTAATGATATTTTTGTAGATTTTTTGCTTCTGATCCTTCTGTTATACTTTTGTATGACTTTTTCGTTCTTGATTATTTTACTAAGGAAAGTCATTGTTTGATTAAATAATTAAAGGAATTTGAAGTGTAAGGATAATTTAATCAGAAAAATTTGAATTACTGAAGTCCAAAAGAAGCGTCGCTTCGCTTATTATTTATACATTTGTTTTTTTTCATTAAGGATCCAATTAAAATCAAATCACTCTTTTCTTGTCGAATGAAATGTTAGCACCGAGGTCATCGAATTCGCTTAACAAGAAAAGATTTTACTAAAAAGTACACAATTAGATCATTAATACGAAAATTCTTAAAAGCGTGTGAGAATGTTTTAAATGTTTTGATCACGCTTTGGATCAATTGATTTACTACTGGAAAACAATGCACAAGAGCACAAGATTTTTGTAAAACAATGTAGGAACTTTTGCATCATTGATTTGAAAATTTTAAGTTTCAGAATAAAAATAACTTTATTACTTTACAATACACGTCGTTGATTTTTATTCGGATAATTTTGGCATTGTTTAACGATTTAACTCTTGATTCGGGAAAATTGTAATGCCATGCATCATATCAAATGACAATTTTATAATAGATTGTGACATTTCATCCGATTTTTTTATATACCTACCGATTAATTTATGCACAATATTTTGTTACTTCTCCTCAATTACAAGTGGTAAAGAAAATTTACATGATATGTCTGATTCATTAGTATATATGGCATTAAATTATTGCTCCGATTTGATCGTCATTGAACCATATTAACTTAGTCGATTCAATTTAGCTAAAAATGTCTTTCTTTTGTTGCTACGCAACTTTTAAATCTTGGGGTACTTTGATTTTTTCATTCCTTGACAAATCATTATTGCAAAATGTTGTTATTATAAATAAGCATCATCATGAAATGGAAATTACTTTTTGTTCATATATATAATTTGCAGGTTTACACGATCCCACATTATTAATTATCCAGCAAATTTTACTATATTGCCCGACATGCAAATCTTTGACATGAAATTTTTCAAGTCTGTATAAGTCAGCGTAAAATACAAATTCTCACTCAGATTCTCATGTTCATAAAGCTGAAATCTTTTTTGAGTTACAAATTTGACCATCAACTTTCATATAATTTTCTTTTGTAATCCGTGTTCTTCTAATCCTTTTCGATTCAATGATCGATTCATATTACAATGAACTTTGCTATTGATAGGGCTACGCTTCGTATTACAATTCTGCTTCGAATCATCATATAAAGTCAAATTTAAAATTCGAATTAAAAACTCAAATTACAAAATAAAATTGGATTCGAATTACGGGATGATCCGAATTGCAACAAATTCGATTCAATTCCACAAAAAATTGAATATTATTATTATTTATTTATTGACTTGATTAATATGTGGAAAAAAAATTTAATAATTATGTAAATACTAAAATAAATATACAATTAAGTTTTTTTTTTTTTTATTTTTCTTTTAATTTTTTTATAATTATTATTATTATTATTATTATTACCGTTATATTTTTAATCTTTTAATTTCAATGTGGGAAAATTTGAACAAGTTTCTTATTTCTTTTAAAAGTAATAATTTGAAACTTCTAGTAATGATCTTTTGACTGTAATTTGATTTCCAACATCTGACAATAATCTTTCGCTAAATACTGATGTTGATTTACTGCTAAATATTCTCTAGCAATATTCGATAAATTTGGATATTCTTCAGTTCTTTCTTTTCATAATTTTAATGGTTTAATATCTTTAGAAACTTTTGGTAAAGGTTCATAACAAGTTAATTCATTTGTATTAGAATTATTAGAATTAACTTTCTCAAAATTAAAATAATTATAAAATAAATGATCTTTTTTTTTAATACTAATAAAGTCTTATTTCTTATAAAGATTATATGTCTATTTCACTTAACCATTCATATTGATTATGAAAATTTTCTAATAATTTTAATTTCTCTTTTTCATATATTGAAATAAAAGATAAATTCTTAAATTTTTGAATCTAATAAAGAAAAAAAAAATAATCCAATATTATTTGTACAATAACTAATCAATAAAAATTCACTCAATTTATTAAAGATTAATTTCAATATAATTAACTTTTAAAAGAAGAATATGTAATTTGTATTTTAACTTGTTTGTTCTTTATTTTTAATTAAATAGATAAATCATAAATTTTAATTCATAATTTTTTTAAATTAATATCTTAAAGTTATATTTTTTTCTAAATTAGAATAATTATTATTCTTTCAACTGTTTTGCTTACAAATTTATAAGTAATTTTATTTATTAATTACAATCATTTTTAATTATTTTTAAAACATCTTAAATAAATTATTATAAAAAAAAATTAAAATTTTAAACTCATATATCTAGTTATCAATCAATCTTAGAAATATAAAAATACTACTATTTAATAGATCTTAATGTGATAAATCCAATAAACTAAATTTATATTTTATAATTATTAAATAATAAATTATTTTTAAAATTGAAATTGAAAAATTAATATATATTGATAATTATGAATTTTAAAAGTTTAAAAATACTACCAATAAATATATCATATAATAAATCTAAAAATTTATTTTATTTTTTATAATTATTAGATATCAAAATATTTAAATTTTCTAAAATGTTTTTAGAAATAATTTTATACTTACAGTTTAAGAGATAATATATATTCTAAAAAAGAAATTAATAAAATAATAAATAATAATTTTATAAGAAATTTTAAAATGATAATATTTAATATAAAATATAAAAATATGAAAAAATAATAATATTTATTATATAAATTGTAATAATATTAAGAAGAAATAATATTTAATATATAAAATATAAAAGAATGAAAAAATACTTATTAAAAATTAAATAAGAAGAAATAGAGCTCTGAACAGGTTGGTTCAGGTCAGGTCAATCAAGTTACCTGAACTGAGAGGACCAGGTCAGGTTAAACAAAAATCCAACCTGATTTAAATTTTCATTTGACCTGACCTGACCTGACCTAATTTGATCAAATTATTTAAATTATTTAATAAATAATATATTATATTTGATTCAATTTAAAACTCTAATTTAT